GTTTGTTTCATTGATTCTCTTTTCGACTCGTATCCGATTCTAATCGATGCAATTTTTCCGGCTGGGGCCAGGGCGGTCTCTGCCCCCGATCCTGATGCACTCTCCGAGCATTACTCCCCCCCCCCTCTTTCACCCCCCCCCCCCCCCCCCCCTCCCGCATCGACTCTAATCGATACTCCGCTCAGTCCATCGGAATGTCTCTAAGAACAGCAAATTGATCAGCATTCCCACCGGGAAACTTGGATTCACAGACAGCACGCTGGTTCCAATAGTTTTACTTGTCAGCCCGATTCTAATCGATTCGGATCGATACCTGGGGAGCCGGCGAGTTCCCAAGTGATGGTGCGAGATGCCGCTCTCCAATCGGGAGGGATCCGGCTCGATCTTGCTCTCGGGAATGCTGCTCTGAAGTTTGCAGGCGCGCTGGCAATTCGGCCATGGGAGGCAGGCAGAGCAAAGGGAGACAGTTTCCAGAGGAGGCGGAGGGTGCCCCTCAGAGCTGCAGGAAGAAATCCTCAGGCCGGGACAGAGGAGACTTCCTCCGGGGCTTCGTGCTGAAGTCCGGGGAGAGGTGCACCAGGAGCCCGGGGGCTCCCCCCTACCAGAGGCGGATTGCTATGATTCAGGACATGGCCGCCCTGGCCAAGCAAGGCCGGCAGGAGGAGGCCTCGAACCTACTGAGGAGCCTGCGGCAGGTGAGTGCCCTTTCACTCTCCCTCTTTCGGGGTACACATCGCTGCCAAAGGCTGGAACCTATTCACCCTCCCTCCCAATCCTCCCTCCCCTTCCCAATCCTCCCTTGACATGTCCCCATTCTCAACCCTTATCCCCCTCCCCGCAACACCCTCCTCCCTGAACTCCTCAATCCTTTCCCATTCCTACACTCCTTCCCCCTCTCCTACCCCTCCATTCCTTCCTCCTACCCATCCTTTCCCTTCTCCACCCTTGACCTCTCAATCCTTCCCCATCTCAACCCCCCTCCCCACTACTCCTCCTGCCCTTTCCCCTACTTCTCCCTCTTGACCATTCAATCCCTCCCCACCCTGTCCTCCTCCCCTCACCCTACCCTGTCCTCCTCCCCTCACCCTACCCTGTCCTCCACCCCCTCCCCCCCCCCCTACCCCCTCCCCCCCCCCCCCCTGTCCTCCTTTGCCCCCCACCCCCCAACCCGCCTCCACCCCACCCCCTCTGCCCCTGTCTACTCCAGCCACTGGATTCATCTCCACTCACTCCTCAGTGTCTCCATGCTCTCCCTCCCTCCGTCCCTCACTTGCCTGATTCCATTTTGCTGAAACTTCCCTGACGGTGTGGGGGTGAATGCCCGCAGAGTGGGGGTCAGCCTGTCTTTGCCCAGACAACCTCGTGGTGGCAGAATGTCACACAGACAGTGAAGAGAATGTGTAAACTGCCTCTCCAAATAGTAACGATTGGCCCTTGCTGTGTGCTGCACCCTCACTGGGTCAGTGAATGAACCCCTGATATGGCTTTATCACCGCTTCACTCACACACTTTCTCCTTCCAAAATCCATTTTGATAAAACAGATGAACTGGGAACCATGTCTCCCCCCACACTCCCAGCCCCTTCCAATTCATTCACCTCCTCAGAGGTCAACCTGACCAATCCTCCCTTATTCAGCTCAGGCTTCTGTTTCCCATGTGAGAGGCTGATCAATCTGTGGGCTGTTCAACCTTGGAAACCTCCACAGCCAAGGTCAGTTTCATGTTCAGCTTGTGCCACACCACACTACCACATATACCTACAACTGCCAGATTGGCTTTGCTCGAATGGAAACCTGAGCAGGATTCCTTCACTCATCCTTCCCTTAGCCCAGGGGAACTGAGGCTAATTTTAGGGACCTATAGGCTTAGATTAGCAGTTGCGAATGGATTCATCAGATCATGGCCCCACATAACTGAAGACCAAGTAGAGCTTTACACATTCTGCTGCAGCAATGTGGGACTAATTGGAAAGCTGTTTTGAAAGGCCAGCATAGATATGAAGGGCTGAATGGCCACCTCTGTGATTTTTTTAATGATTGAATGTAACTTCCCACCATTTCCAAAAACAAAGTGTGAAAATACTCGTGATGTTCTTTAACTTTCTATATTTGTATTAATGTGCATGTTTATCTTGTACAGTAACTACAGAAATAGCTAGACTGGGATGGATTATTGAGTAAGGAATTAATGATCAAGAATGAATTAATGGTTAAAGGTTGGGGGTAGTGCTGAATCCTCACTGGAGGTGCAACAGTTAACCAAGCATACAATAATTCCAATACTTTGATGCTCGGTGCCATGTCCCTATCACAGTGGGGTTTAGCAATCATTGTTGAGCACCAATTCTTGTTCTGCTTTTTTTTAAAAGCTCCCCTGAACAGAGAGGAACGTAAAACACACAGAGCTTAATAGTTCCACTGAATGTTTGCTGGGTTTAAAAGTTAATTTTCAGATACACAGCTTCTGTAGCCATACGACATTATGATCTGAGATAACAAGGTGTAGAGCTGGATGAACACAGCAGGCCAAGCAGTATCAGAAAAGCTTTCCTGCTCCTCTGATGCTGCTTGGCCTGCTGTGTTCATCCAGCCCTGCACCTTGTTATCTCAGATTCTCCAGCATCTGCAGTTCCTACTATCTCTGAAACAACATTATGATCTGTCTGTTCTCAGCCAGTGTGCGATCTTCTCATTCCTCGTCAGAACTTTCAATTCAGCTCGGATTTGTGCTGTTTGATTTTGAGTTCTTTTTCTGGGTGAGATGGTGTCCTTTATATTTGGAGACTTGCAGTCACGTGATAGATGCATACACAGGAACGAATAACCCAAACCATGCCCCTGTGTGCTGTAGCTATGAAGGGCCAAATGGCCTTTCCTCAGTTCTTTAAACTGCTCTTCTTCAGTCTCTTGCTCCAGAGACACTTGAGCTATGGGTTTCAATAGAATGAGCTTGAGGAAGACCCTCTCATGACTTCCTCACCAATTTTCATAAATAAAACTGGACATACAGCTTCAAATGGCTGTTCAACTATGAAGGCCATCAAGTTTGAATTCAATCCAGTCCTTGTCCAGTTTCCAGTTGAGGCCATTAATAGTGATTGGGGTAATAGCCCTGACTGGTTTACCTTCTCCATTTCAGCTCCAGAAGCCACTCAGTGCCCTGACTGGTTTACCTTCTCCATTTCAGCTCCAGAAGCCACTCAGTGTGTCGGTTGAAATCAGTTAACAGCACAGGTCAGGGATTATAGTGAACCTGGACTGTCCCAACCACATGTCAATGTTAAACCAGCAGGAGCTATTGCTTTGACCCTTTGATTAATTTAAATATGGTGTCGTTCTTCTATTTAATTTGGTTTATGATCTATATAATTCATTCTCATTGTCTAAAGCTCTTAATTCTTTTTGCCACACAAGACACTTGGGCACAATATCCATGCTGGTGGAATGCTGACAGAGGTGCAGAGACATCCTCAGCTTGTGAATTCACTGCAGAAATGTACTTTCTTAACTGTAGAAAATGTGTTTGGGGGAGCCCACCACAAGATTAAGATAATCACTAATAAATTCAATTAGGAATTCAGAAGAAACCTCTTCCCCCAGCGAGTAGGGACAGTGTGGAGCTTGCTCCTGTACGGATTTTTTGAGGTAAACCGATACATTCAAGAGGAAGCTGGATAAACACAAGGGAGAAAGGAAATGAAGGAGATGGTGATAGGGTGAAATGGAAATGTAGGAGAAAGCTTGTGTTGAGCAGAAACACAGGCCAGGACTCATTGGTCTCAATCTGTGCTGTACATTCTGTAATATATCACTAAAATGAGGCTCATGACAAAGGACGGTTGATAAGAGCTTAGAAAAGCGTGGCTTAAGGAGAGTTGTGGTAAATGGTTATTTTTCAGTGGGTGTTTGATGTCTCATAGTTAGTATGCGGTAGACCTTTAAGAGACATGTTCATGGTGTCATCATTATATACCACAGCATTTTACCTGAGGGCTTGAAACTCCATCTTAACTGAAGGTGCTTGAAGCATGACATGCTAATGAAAGTGTGCTACTGTTTTAACCAAAAAGCCTAGTATTAGCCCAGACACTGAAATGTCTGTGACTGTAATATATGCATATACCAGGAGCTAAAATAAACAAATGTCTAATCTTTCAGTACTGTATTACATACACCTAGTTTTTACATTACAGGAGTTAACACATGCATTGCCACATCAGGTTCAGATAGGCAAAGCCCAAACTATGGTGGCATTTCAGGGTTTTCCAAGGGTCAGGGTTAAGACCAGTGCTTTTCCGATATTGGAGTCTTGGATATTGGAATATACTGTAAAACTTTCTAAGCTTGTCAATGATACCAAACTGCGAGAACTGGTAACAGTGTAGTAATTCAATCAAATAAAGCATACCAGTGGGGACAGGAGAGGAGTGATCGTGTTACTGGGCCAGTAAATCCATTCGGCCAGACTAATGCACCAGAGACACAAGTTCAAATTCCTCAACAACAGCTGGGAGATTTTAAATTCAGTCATTTAATTAATCTGAAATAAAATGCTAATTCCATTCATAATCACAAAACAGCCAGACTGTTGCGAAAACCCCATCTGGGTCACTAATGCCTTTCAGGGGGAGAGAATCTGGTATCCTACCTGTGAGTCCAGACCCACAGCATTGCAGTTGACTCTTCTACAAACACAAAAGTAAATTACTGTGGATGTTGGAAATGAGAAGCAAAAACAGAAAGTGCTGGAGAAACTCAGCAGGTCTGGCATCATCTGTAGAGAGAGAGAGAAAAGGTTTAACATTTCAAGTCCAATTAAAGTCCTACGTATGATACTGGAATTGAAATACTAGCTCTTTATGTCCACAGATGCTGTCAGACACACTGAGTTTCTCCACAATGCTCCCTCTGTGACTGACTCCTAACTGCCCTCTGAAATAGCAGAGCGAAGCAAGCGGTGGTTCAGGAAAGTTGTTCACTATTATCTTCCTATGGGATAAAGGCTGCCCTCCCCAGCAACTCTCTCATCACAAGACCATATTAAAAAGAAAATAGATTTCCACTCGTCTGTCTGTTCTAATGTAATGGAGATGATGTATTTTGACAGATGGGACAGGTAAAAGAACTATAGATTAAATGACACAACTCTAAAGAATGCGCAGGGACAGAGAGATCTGGGGATGAAAATACATTGATCTTTGAAGCGGGAAGGACATGTTGAGAAACAGTGGAATCAGCAAAGACCTTGGGCTTCACTAACAGATGCACTGAGTATAAAAGCAGTTGAGCTATGCAGAACCTTTACAAAGCTCTGGTTTGGCCACAGTTGGAATACTGCATCCAGTTCTGGTTGCCATAGTCACACTGGTGGTAAAAGTGGAGACAGTCAAAGAATTCTGAAGGAAATTGAAGGGCCCTCTAGGGGAGTAAGGTTACAGGACTATGGGGGACAGAGCAGGGGACTGAGACTGATTGGATTGGTTACCTGAGGGCTGGCATGAACTTAATGGGCCAAAAGGCCTTCTTCGGGACTGTAAATGGCTCTTGGTAAAAACTCTCATCTTGCCTCAGCTGTTGTTCTGCAGATTATATAGCGGACTTGAGACTTTGTAGGTAAATGTCAGAGTGGGGGTTTTCCTGAGGCATGTCCCCTTGATCTTGGTGGTTGTGGTGTGAACCTGTGGTGTTTAGGAACA